CACACACACATACACACAAAAACACACACACATACACACAAAAACACACACACATATACACAGACACACCCCACACACACCCACACGTTTTAAAGATGCGTGCAAAGGCCAAACGCCTAACCACCCTGGCACAAAAGCTTCTGATATACCAACAATGCCAACACCAGAGATCTATTACCCAAAATACAGACAGCATGACAGCATGGAAGCCGACACCTTATTGAGGCTGGGCTATCACTATCACACGATCGTGAAATATGCGGGCATCTACCCTGAGTCCGGCGAGTTGATCATATCTGCCTCAGTCCATGAGAAAACAACGCTTAATTGTCACGAAACCAAGCCGTGATCGGATAATTAGACCTATCAAAATAGTCATTCCAAAATCACTGCTCGGGTGAAATTAAGATACATCGTAGTGTCTATCTGGAGACGTCTCCGACGGAGATAGGCCAATCAAAATGCTTTGTGCCTCTAAACCAAGTAAAAAAATCTGGTGGGTTACAGGGGGCATGCCCCCTTGTTTTAACCCACAATTTGATATTTTGCCCGTTAAGTTTGAAAGTTTCTTGAAAATAATTGATTTGCCATAGTTTTGGCGGCAATATGTGTGATCTGCAGCAAATAATACACAGTTTGACACCCCAAAGCAGTGCATCTGTGTGCGGGAGGGCGTCTCCGAATAGTTTCTGGGTGCTCGCCGGAGACGTCTCCGAATATCTTCAGCCAATTTCTGATGGTATTTTCCTCAGGTCACAGACAGCCACCGAAAAGATGCAAAGACGGAGCCGTGGTGGGTTGGGTTGGGAGGTAAGGAGGTTGGGGGTAGGGAGTGAATTATCACCAAATGTCGAAGCGAAAAAGCACAAGACCAAATTAATCCCTTCTGAAGTTGAACAAGTCTTCCAATCTGGTTCGCCTATCAGCACTTCCATAACGTTGCGTGTTCCCTATTATCTGGACATCAAAGCCATATTCGCATTTACAAGGGTCTTCCAATTGAGCCAATATAGAAAAGATCAAAGGGTCTGTGCTTCGCGTTGCCCGAGGGATTTTTTTTATAATAAACATTTTACGCATTTCAATAATGGAGGGCTGTTTTGTGTTGAGAAGTGACATGAAGAGATGGGATGATATATTATACCAACATATTTACTTGTGATCTTACTGTAGATCTATCTTATAATATGTGTGCAAATGTATGTGT